CGCCATCTCCGCCAGATAGTACTGCGCCGTGAGCGGGTGCGGGTGCGTCTTCTTGCCCGGCGTGCCGTTGATCGCCGCAATCCGCTCGTCCACCTCGCCCGCCTTGCGCGTCATGGCCTTGAGCATGGCGTCCGAACACAGCGCGTAAAAGTCGGCGCCCGTCAGATTGAACGGACACTGCTCCGCGATGCACCCCAGATCGCCCACGTCGGCATCCAGCTTAAACTTGCGCGTCAGCGCCTGCAGAATGTTGAGCTGCGCCGCGTGTGTCTCGGAAACAGACAGGTACAGCATCCGGTCAAAGCGTCCGGGACGCAGCAGTGCAGGGTCCAGCAGATCCGGTCGGTTCGTAGCGCCGATCACAAACACGTCCGTGCCCTCCGAAGAGCCCGCCATGCCGTCGAGCTCCGCCAGCAGCTGCGACACGATGCGGTCCATCACGCCGCCACTGTCGCCCTGGTTGCCTCGCTTCGGCGCCACCGAGTCCAGCTCGTCAAAGAAGATCACGCACGGCTTGGCGTCGCGTGCGCGCTGGAACACGCGCCGCACATTCGCCTCCGACTCGCCAATGTACATGTTGAGCAGCTCCGGTCCCTTGACCGAGAAAAAGTTGAGCGAGCACGACGTAGCCACCGCTTTGGCCAGCAGCGTCTTGCCCGTCCCCGGCGGGCCGTACAGCAAAATACCCGAGCGCTTCTTGAGCCCGTCGCTAAACAGCTCCGGATGCTCGAGCGGCAGCTGGATCGTGTCGAGAATGTCCGACTTGACCGACGCTAAGCCACCCACGTCGTCCCACGTCACGTTCGGGATCTTGGGCGCACCGATCGACTCCGAGTAGCTCGACCGCGCCTTGTTCAGCGCAGAGTCCACGTCGGCTCCCGTGATCGCCAGCCCGGCCAGCACAAGGTCGCGCTCCGACACGCCAGCCACGCTGGAAGGCAGCGACTTGCGTACGCGGTGCACCGACATGAGCCGCGATCGCGACGCCAGATTCACCAGATCCGCCGCCACCAGCGCTGCCGTCTGCGTCGCCAGGTTCTTGAGATCCACGTCGGGGCCCAGCACCGTGTCGGCGAGCGTGAGCTCGAGCATCGCACGTCGCTCCGCCTCGTTGGGCGCATTGAAGCTCACCTCGTGCTTGAAGCAGCCCAGCACGCCCGACGGGCACTTGTCCGCATCGCTCGTCGTGCCGAACACCGCCACGGGCATGCCATCTCCCGAGTCAAAATCCCAAAGCTCCTCGAAGCACTTTTGCAGCGCAGTCGCCAGCGGAGGCTCCTGCCCCGTCTCGAGTGCCTGGCTTTTGCGTGCGAGCGCCTCGATGTTGCGCAGCAGGAAGATGCACGGCGCACACTCGGCCGCCTTCTGGAAGCGCGCACGCAGGATGCCCTCGGTGCGCACGTCCGTGTCCGACACCACGTCGAAGCAGTCGAGCTCCACCAGCTGCACGCCGGCGGCCTTGGCAACCCAGCGTGCCACCGTGCGCTTGCCGCATCCACGCGCGCCCTTGAGCAGCACGCTCAGGTGCAGCCCGAACCGCCCCGCTCCCGGCTGCAGCGTTGCGGACAGCAGCGATGACAGCCCTGCGTACGCACTCGACGCGCCCACCAACGGCGCCACCACCGCCGACACCTCGGTGGGCAGACTCGGCGTGTCGCACACAATGCCCAGCCAGCGATCGCAGTCGACGACGCGGCAGTGCTCGACGCCCGTCTGCACCATCTTGGTGACGTTGGGGTCGACGATGCAGCCGAGCTCGCCCGCCTGCGCCTGAAGTGCGAGCCCGCGCACCGCCTCGTGCATCTGCTTGGCCGCGGCTGCGTCGGGCGCCACCAGCTCAGCGCGCACATCGGTCACGCGGAAGTACACCGTCGCCGTCCTGGCCGCACTCGCCGCCGAGGGGAGACGCAGGTCGTGGATGTCGTCCGGAGCCGAGTCGGTGGTGGCGTCGGAATCGGCCTCGCGCGCCACGAAGCGCGCCTTGCTCGCCTCGATCGCGACGGCAATGATGTCGCCGCTGCGGCAGATGCGGCGGCGGTCCTCGAAGAACGTGCGCAGCGCCTCGAGGAAGAGTCCCTGGTAGGCGCGGTCCACGCTGAGCGGGCCTGCCACGCGCGCGATCCGCAGCGACTCGGCGAAGGGTACCGCCACAGGGCACGTCCGCACCAGCGCAGATACATCGGGCTGCTGGTCCGAGGCCCGCGATCCGAGCACGCGCAGGACCACGCTCGGCGTTGCGCTGCCGAAGACGTCGTCGCCGAGGATGTTCTGCGCCAGCACGGGCGACATCCACACGGCAGGCGATGCGTCGGTGGAGGGAAGATCCTTGGGCGCCAGCAGACGCACCAGCCTCGTGCGCCCGCTGCTGCCTGCTGCGCTCGCGGCGAGCCAATCTCCGTTGAATGCGCCCAGCGCGGCCATGTCGCGCTCGGTTGCAAGCACGACATTCTCCTCGTCGATGCTGTTGGCTGCGGCCGCAGATGCAGCGGCATCGGCCGACGAAGCGCTCGTGTGCCAGTGCGCAATGGCTGCCGCGAGTGCAGCTGGATCCTGGAGCTGGCGCAGCGCGCACCGCTTCACGCGGCTCGCCTGGGTGGTGCTTGTACGGCTTCGTGCGTTCGACGCATCAGGCGCGGGATCGATCGAGATGTCGAGGTTGGAGAAGTCCTGCAGCACCGTCTGTGCGAGGAAGCGCTCGTCGATCTCGAGGTCCTCATCGTCGTCGTTATCGTCTTGGAGCTCGCCGTCGCTGTGGCTCGCATCGTAGAGGCCGTTGGCGTCGCTGGCTGCTATCGAGTATGAGTCTTCTGAAACGCTTGAGAGCATGGAAGCTTCGAGAGGGTCTGCATCGGCGGCTTCCGGGTGCATGGTGAGGAGCACCTCGGTTGCGTCGGCTGCGAAGACGCCCTGGAGCAGCGGCTCGAGCACGAGCACGCGGAGCGGCGTGTCGTTGCCAGCCAGCTGAGCACGGATGAGCTGGCCCTGGCGGAGGATGCGGCGGTCGAGTTGACGTACCAACTCGTCCTGGTTGGCGATGGCTACGTCGTAAGCCGCCGACGTCGTTGCCTGCAGATACACGAGCGAAGCATCAAGTAGCGTGTGCAGCTCGATGCTTACATGGCGCGACTGCTGGGTGCGCGAGGGACGCGAAGATATGCCGAGCGCAGTGACCATGGCTCTGGAGGCGTGCAGCCACAGTCCGGGCGTGTCCTGGGAGCTCTTGACGGCATGGGCGGTGAGGGCAGCAAAGCCAGTGAGCCGGGGACGGCGTCCCGAGGGCGGCCGCAAGCTCACCGTGATGGTGCTCCCAGAGGCAGCCTTGGAGGACGATGCAGCTGAGGACGAGGCTGTAGCATTGAGAACGTTCCACAGCGCCGGCGAGAGGGCGACGGTCTGATCTGTGAGAGCAGCATCTTGCTCGTCGACCACGAGGTCGACGTCGAGCTGGCGCGTCGGCGAAGTTGGCACCGTCATTGATGCGGGGAGAGCAAGCACGGTTGCGCGATCGCTATCACGGTAGAAGGGGAAGCAGGATGGTCGGGGGTCCAGGCGCTTCCGCTTTGGGGGATGGGGTGAGGTGATGTCCAATCACGAAGCTCGAGTGGACAATCAGGGTCGGACGTGTGGAGAATGACAGGCTTAAAGCTAGCTCGCTTCCACCAATGGCGCGTGAACGGCGCCCATTCCAGACAGCGGCCGCTATGACCAGCAGCCGGGCCGGATTCGCGCTTCACAACCGGCAATTTCGGTCGGCCCTTTTTCGCAGTGCTTCACCTTTCGGCCGGCAAATGCCCTAATGCCCTCACTGCCACTGGCACGTGACGGAGGAGCTCAGACCAGCAGAAAATGACAACTGCTGAACGGCTGCATTGTTGCCTCTTCAAGGGTCTCGAGCTGCAGCAGCGACCTCGCCCTTCCCTTAGACACCCGCAACATCCGTCCGCTTTGCCTGCTCCAACTTACACGAGGCAGCAGCAGCAGCAGCAGCAG